GATCCAACCCTGGGTACAAGAGGGACAGGACTCTGTATGTGCTGGGTGGGCTGAGGTGGGGCCTTCTTCCAGAGGAGGCAACCAGCTTGGAGAAGGGTAAGAGAGCTAAGAAGAGAAAATAGCCACCTCCAGTAGCCTCAATTTCCTTGTCGAGAAAGTGGGTATCACAGTCATTGCCTCCTGGGCTTGGTTGGACCAATTTGCAAAATCATACCTGAAGAGCTCAGGGCCGAGCTTTGGATTTAGCCCTCGGCAGGGGCAGCCTTTCCTGGGGTCCAAGCAAGCCAGACATTTGTAGGAAATCCCTCTGATTTCCTACAAATCTGCAAGCTAGGAACACTGGGAGCTACACTTCAGTGCCCAGAACACACCCTGACAGAAGCCATGGGGTTGGGGATACTGAGGCACCGTGGGCTCTGCCCTCTGGTCCTCCAGGTTGTGGCCATGTGCTCTGGCAGCAGCATTGCCCCAGCAGAGTAGAGGGCTGGAGGCTGGCCTGATGGCACGGGAGGGAGGGGGGAAGAGTCAGGGCTCATATCCTGTGTGGTCATGAGGGACCATAGGGCAGGCCACTCACCAACCGTGGGGTCCCCTCTTTAGTCAGCCGGTGGTGCACAAAAGCAGAAGGTGGCATTCCCTGTCCCTTAAGGTGACAGTTTGCAGGGTAGATTAGAGGACTGGAAGCCAGCCACAGAACCTCGGTCTTCTCCCTCGCCATTCTAGTCAGGGCAGGTCCCCTCCTTCACTCAGGGAGGACGAATAGTAGGGTTATATAATGTTTGGGTATAATCGCTTTCCCAGGCGCTTGACATGGGGGTGGTGCAACCTGGATCTCCTCCCAGAGAAGAGACTGGGATGTGGGGAGGCTGAACGGTAGGGGCTCTGCTTCTGCTAACAGCCTGGGTTACCCTGGACTAGTATCTCTCCCTCTCTGGGCGCCAGAGCCTCACACACAGCACCGTTGGCTTGCTATACTTGTGCATGGAGCTCAGTGGTTCTGTCATAGAGCTTGCTCACCTTGCCCACGGATCCTGGTCCATGGGGCTCAGACCTGGACGCCTGGACTCCTGCTCTCAGCCCCACCCAGTGGCTCATCCATCTTTCCTGGCCGACACTTCTGGATGTCTGTTAGACACCATGTACAGGCCGTGAGCTCAGGCCAGCCGGGGTTTGTAGGCAAGGCTGAGTGAGTTGGAGAGCTACCATGAAGGCTGTCCATCATGGCTAAGGGTGGGTCAGGACTCTTACCCTAGCTGGACTAGACAGGCTGATGCCAGGTGATAGTCAGGGTGAGGAAGACCACAGAGCTTACAGAACTCAGGGGACACTGAACATCAAGGGTGGAGGAAAAGTGCACGATGGGGCCTTCTGTGCAGGCTGGTACTCCTGGGTTCCAGCATCTCTTCATGGGGGGTGGTTTCTCCAGCCTCCTATTGATGGGGTGGGGTTCAGTGACAGCCTCGGTAGGGGTAACGAGATTCTCAATAGAAACTGGCACTCTGCCACGGGCCCTACAGCTGATGTCAGTGCCAATGACTCCTGCTGGTGCAGTGTGGGGGGCCTCTCCCACCCGGGAGCCTGTTCCTCTGGGCCTCCTGCAGGGCTCTCTGGGCTGGGCTGAGGAGATTAGGGTCAGGAGTCTCTTCTCCCTTTGCACCATCTTTATTCATCTTGAGACAGGCTCTCACCATGTACTCCTGACTGCTCTGGAACTCACTGTATATAGGCTAGCCTCAAACTCTCAGAGATCTGCTTGGCTCTGCCTCCTGGGTTTAAAGGCATGCACCACCATAGTAGGCATTTGTTGTTGTTGCTGCTGCTTTTTAAATAATTTTCATGGGTTTCCAAGTAGCAGGCAGCGTTGTAGAGAAGCTGAAAGGATGGAGGGGTGCGGGGGGAGGTCAGAGGGTAGGCAGGGGCATCTCCTATGGATTCTGTAGGCAGGGGCGTCTCCTATGGAGTCTGTAGGCAGGGGCGTCTCCTATGGAGTCCGTAGGCAGGGGCGTCTCCTATGGAGTCTGTAGGCAGGGGCGTCTCCT